ACTGCACCCCACCCAGTCACAAGAGCCTCCTTAGTCAGTCCTCAGTACACCTCTAGGGTAGTGGCTTCAGCCAAGCTGACCCATGTGCGACATGTTTGACACTGACTTTTGCTGAACTGTTCCTCTTCTTAAAATGTACTTCTCTCTTTCCTGTGCCAGGCATAAAGGTCTTCATAAAACAGGATTTTAACTCTTATTCTTTAAGTAAGCCTTGCCAATTTCTGCTAAATCTCCTCAAATAGATAATGAATGTGTTCTCTCCATTTAAAACACTAGAATTAAAATACTCCACAAAGTTAATCCCTATTTTGTTCAGAGTTCTCAATAACTTCAGTGCTATCAATTTGGGAATTTAGCAGGAACTCCTTCATTTCTGTCTTATTTAAAAATTCATGAATATCCATTGAATATATTCAGGATAGGACCTCAAAGAGCTTTCAGTTTCCTGCAGAGCTTTGAACTGGTTCATTCTGAATTTGCATTTTCACCCTAGATATACTGCATCAGAATTAGGGCTTCAAATTGGTTAAAACAGTTCAGTCATGGCCGGTGGAAACAAGGACAGTGTACATGTTGCATAGCAAACATATCTCTTATGCGTTGGATTTTGACCCAAGTAGGAAACAGGCAGTGGTGCCCCACTCAAAGATGGTGGCCAACCAATACGCATCCAAAGTGGCACAGTCAGCCACCATCTTTGAGTGGGGCACCACTACTTGTTTCCTACTCAGGTAAAAATCCGATGTGCAAGAGATTTGGTTGCTATGCAATGTGTACATTGTCCTTGTTTCTGTGGACTGTGATTGAACCACTTTGAACTGGTTTGAAGCTCTGATCAGAATCCATGTTTTAACAAGATCTCCCAGGTGGTCCCTCTGAGAGATCTTGTTAAAATGTAAACTCTGATTCAGTGTATTTGGGGTGGAAATGCAAATTCTCAGCAGTGGGTCCAACCGGAATGAACCAGTTTGAAGCCCTGGTTTCTTGCAGGAGACAGGCACATAAGCAAGTAATTTTTTATATATAATTCAGTGAGAGATAGTGATGTGGTGAGGCGTAGGATGTGCCCTAGGAAGACAAAGATAAGGATCTAGCTTTGCCATGGAGTTTCTGGGTGGTACAAACAGTTTATGCAGCTGCTTACTGCTAACAGAAAGGTTGAGAGTTCAAGTCTACCCAGAAGAGCTTCAGAAGAAAGGCCTGGTGGTTTTGTTCTGAAAAATCAGCCATTGAAAACTCTATGGAGCACAATTCTACTCTGACACACATGAGGTCATCATGACTTGGAGTCAAACTGGTTAACTGGTTAACCCTGTGATGCTGGAGGGGTGATATTTAAACTGAATATTAAAGGGACTGACTTCTGGATGAGAACATTCCTCTTCAGGGGACTGAGTAGTCCTACTGTAAAATAGACCTATTGGCATTCAAAGGAGAGGAGAAAAATAATAAAATATTTTAAGGTCTCTCTAACCTGAGATAAAAGAGCTATAGTTTGACTGTACTACACCTACTCCTCACTAATCCACTATCTCATTATCCAACATTTCACTTACGACAATAATAAAACTCCACTATCCAACTGTTTCGTGCATTAAGGATGTATGTCTGGCAGTAATGAACGCGAAGATGCAAGGCAAGAGTTATGGTTGGGCCATGATTCAGTGCTTTGGCAGTCATGCAAATGATGTAGTTTGGCACCTATGTAATGATGAAATTTGGTAGTCATGTTTTGCTTAATGCCGATTTTTGCAGAATGACCTGGTCTTTGGAACCTAACCATGTTAAGTGAAGAGCGGGTGTGGAAGGTTCTTCAGGTGCCACTCACTGTCCTTTGTTCTGTGTGCTCAAAGTAAATTGGGGCCCTGGATCACCTGGATGGATCTTAAGTCCAATGACTGGGTAAACTGGACTCTCACTGCACTTTATCAAATGTGCAAATTAGGGCTTTGAACCAGTTTTTCCCAGTTCAGTCATGGACAATGAAGCAAAACTGGAATGGACCCAAATTTGTGAAATGTGGCTGTACTGGAAAAACAGTGAGAATGGGAAAAATGACAGGTGGTGTACTGCTAGAAACTTAATCTCCCTCTTAGAAAACAAAACAAGGGCAGTGTGTGTATTCCAAGGAAGCCCAATCTCTTTACGATGCCCAGCTCAAAGATGGCAGCTGCCCATGCCATTTTGAATATGTGTCACCCTCCACAGTCCTGGCTGCACCAATCCAATCTCCTGCATTAGGATCCTGAAAGGGCTCACTGTGCCTCTTCCAAGCCTCCCGTTACAGAGTTTTGACCCATAAATTTTCCCATTATGGTTATCATTTTGATATGCCCACATTTTACAAATTTGTTTCTGTTCTGATTTTGCTGCATCAGCCATGACTTAACTAGTTTGAACTGGTTTGAAGCCCTGGTAGAAATATACCCTTGATTTAAGTGAATACCTTGGGACAGACGTATCTGTAATTAGTGTATAATTGCCTGATTTTACCCCATGTTTTAAAATACCTATTGACCTAGTTACCCAGGGGAAGAAATCTAAGCTCATATTCTCTGATAGCTCTCTGCACACAAAAAGGATCACAGCACAGACTGAGAAGCAGAGGCAAAGTATCAGTGCAGTATCTTTTAGCCATTTAATTCTTTCAAATTCTGCATTCATCAGCGTGATTGGATAATTTGCCCTGGAGGTATTCGAAGGTTAAGTATGCAATTTATTACATGTGTTTGATGAGGGATCTGATTTCCAGGAGTTGTTGAAGCAGATGCCACACAGAAAATCATGCATTCAAATCAAAACCAAGCTCCCAATAGTTAGAAGGTTGAATGGTGGCCCCCCGAAGAATATATGTCTGTGTCCTAATCCTTAGAACCTGTGAATGTGACTTTATGAGGAGAAAAGTTCTTTGCAGATGTAATTAAGGATGTTGAAGTCATCTTGGATTACTGGGATGGATCTAAAGTCCAATGACTAGTGTCCTTATAAGAAGAGAAGACACAGAGGAGGTGGTCATGGAAAGACACAGAAAGATTGCCATGGAAAGACTGAGGCAGAGATTGGAGTTATGCAGCACCAAGCCAAGAAAACACCTAGAGCCAACGGAGGCTGGAAGAAACAAGGAAGGACCTTACTCCTGAACCTTTGGAGGGAGCCTGGCTCTTCTGACACCTTGATTTTAGACTCTGGCCTCCAGAACTGTGAGAGAATACATTTCTGCTCATTTGTGGTGATTTGTTATGACAGCTCTGGGAAACTATTATAGAAGGAGACACACATAACTCAGATAACATGATGTAAAATGAAGATCTGAATGTTTATTAATTACAATCAGATGTAAAATCACAGCATTGGCTACTTTTAAAGAAATGTAACCAATTAAAATAAATTTTTAAACAAGAAAGCGATCTTTAAAAATTCCAAGTCAGAAATCTAGTACAAGCAAAGATATTTTAAAGTTCATCGATGAATTTACCCACAGACTTTCTGTCACAATAATATTCATTTATGTCTTCAATTTTACAGAGCAACAAAATCACAGTAAGAAAGACAGCCATTGTTTCTGAAGGAAAATAAAAGTGGCCTAGAGCGATTATTTTTTTTTTCAAAGGGAAATTGGAGAGTTAAAATCAGGCTGGCTTCTCCTGGGCTGACAACATTTGACTGTGATGGGAACAGCAGCAATCTTTCCTCTGATTTTACCTTTGAACAGAATAAAAGAAACTCAGTGCAACATTCTCCCTCACAAAGAGATGTAGGACTCAAGCCTCACCCCAGAGAAATGCTATAATCAAAGTAAATACCAATCCCACTCCCACAAACATTGTTAATAGCATTTTATAGCATTTCTCTCTCCTGCTAATCTTTCTGTGAATTTTTAACACAGTTTTCCTGGACTGGAAGAATCATTCCAGTTCCCTGGAAATGATAAGCAGGCTGAAACAGCATTGTTAGACTCACACATTCATTTACGAAAGCAAGCACAGCATATAGCACAGAGGGTCTTGTTAGTCAAGAATTCATTATCCAAATCCTTGCAGTCACTGGGTTTGCTTATGTAAGAGAGCGTAGGTTCTTAAAACGTGAGAATGTGCATTTGCCTACCTGAGCACTTATAAACTAGTCCTTTGTCAAACAGTCCCCCTAATTAATACAAACATCTGTCCCATCCATCATGTCAATCTCTTATGTAAGTCTTTTGCAGTCACCTGAAAATCTATCACCAATTTGAAAACATTCAGTCTAGTGAAATTGTAAAACTGACCAAATAGTAGGCTTTCATGAAGTCAGTGGAAGTGATGTTAGGGACATTAGCAAAGCCACTGACAAATATGGATCTGCCTGAGCTGGACCACAAAGCGATTAAAGGAAAAAAAATCAACTAGGATGATGGTAGGAGGTGCATCCCAAAACAAAGATATGAATGTCTAAGGACTAAGAAAATTGATGAAGCACTCAAATGTTTTTGCAAAAATAATCAGCTCTATAATGTTATTCCAATTTTAAGTCTTAAATAAAGTACATTAAATAATAGAAAATAATTTTCCTGAAAACATTTGATTCATATTTTATTCATTTTAAGTTCTAGAACATAGCTGCAATTCAAAAGAAAAGAATAATTTTTCCGATAAAGTCCTAATCAAACACTATAAATTGACCATGAAATTGTACTTCCTGCTTCAAGTAGTGCCAATTTTCTTCAATAACAAGTCCTTCCATATGTTATCAGCCTCTTGCTCATATTTAAGTCTCTGTTAATGTTTTGCTAACATCTCAGAGAATGAATCTCTAGACTCTTCTTCAACCTGGGAGGTTCATATAAACTTGCTGTGTCAAGAGGTCTCTTATCAGTCTTGCCTTGCCTCAAATGCCTTTCAAACTTATTTCACCTGGAAGCTGTTAGCCTTGGACTTTTCAAATGCTTATGAAAGAAAGAAATGCTAACTCATATGCTGTCTTGTGCTATCCCTTACCCAGCAGCACCCAGCTCAACGGTGGGCCTACTTCCTGGTCCCCGATGTGAATTCTTCTTTGGTCCCTTTGGATTGCAGGGTGACAACTTCTCCCTTATAGGGTGCACGCTCCACAGGGGTAGGTGTGCAAGTCTGAAACAGAACATATAATGTCTCTCTTGTGGTTCATTGACTTCTTACATTTAAAGCTAAAAGGAGCTCCCTTTATGAATTGAGAGCAAAAAGGAATCTTGTGAATTTATCATGTATCTTTAACCCCCTGGCCATTTCACAAAACTTCCTGGCAACGTGGTATCCAGGTTAGCCCATTCTTTGCCAGTGTCAGACAAAGACCCAGGGGACATTTTCTAACCACCATTCTTTCTCATTTCCATTTTAATTGGAGCTTCTGCCGTATCATCCCACCCTTTCAGTCCTATGCCATCTCTTAGAATCCTTTCAAATGTTCTCATTTTCTTCTAGTTTCAGTCCTAGAATTCTGTGTTCCCAGAGTGCTGTTATACCTCTCCTAAGAATCTTAGAACATTTTGCTTTGGGTAATAGTGAGGAGTGTGTGTATTTCTCATTTTCCTGATTGCCTGTGTACGTAAAAGGCCTTTCAAGATCTTGGATAGAGTGGAAGGGAAAACGTGGAACAAAATCCAAAAACTCAGTAATGACCAGAATTACTGGTCAGAAGAAGTCTGATGAGACCCCCAATATTATGGCCCTGGAATACATTCTGCACCTGGAATAAAACACACCTCCAGGGGCTGGCTGTCAGCCCAACAGTTAACAAGAGGTACACGCAGACCACTCAACCCAGGATGCCTCACCCACATTGTTGTTGTTATGTGCCATCGACTCAGACCGACTCATAGTGACCCCTCCTTGGGTTTCTGAGGCAGTATCATTATGGAGGTAGATTGCCCCATCTTCCTTCCAAGGAGTGGCTGGTGGGTTTGAACCACCAGCCTTCTGGTTAGCAGTCAAGTGCCTTAGGCACTACGCTACCAGAGTTCCCCTGCACCCACATACTCTATGGTAATACATCCCTTAGAGCAATAGACCACAGGACACCAGAGGACCAACATTCAAATTGAGGAAATGCAGGACAAACTAGAGTGCATAAATACGAGGGGCACGGGGGAGGGTTACAGGGGAGGGCGGAGAGGAGACTGGGTTAGGGTTGGACATGGTGAATGGGGAATGAAACTAAATGTACACGTAACGTTGAATGTAAAAAGGTCTTTCACACAATATTACATCTCTAACCACATGTCTTCAGGAGCTCTGGTGGCATAGTGCCTAAGACATTTGACTGCTAACCAGAAGGCTGGAGATTCAAACCCACCAGCCACTCTTTGGAAGGGAGATTGGGCCACCTACTTCCGTAGAGATACTGCTTCGGAAACCCAAGGAGGGTTCGCTAGGAGTCAGATCGACTTGATGGCAGTGAGTTGGGTGTTTTTGGTAACCACGCCTTTTTGGTAACTGACTGTGCCACAGAACGTTGTATTTAGCTACAGTTAATTCACTGCTTGAGCAGAGTTTTAAAATTCAGAATTTATAAACAAAGGAACAGTGTTTATAAACTTGCACACAAATGACAGCAAATCACAGGGTTCAAGAGCACAGTCTTGGGCGGAATATTTAACATGAAGCTTCCTGGGGAGAATAACAGCATCTACTTTACAGGATTATTGTGAAGATCAAATGTTTAAAGGATTAAATACAGGAGGTCCCTGGGTTGGGAATGTCCAATTTATATATAACTCATAGTGAAGAACCAATGCCTATACAGCTTATACTAAAAATTTGAAGGACATACAATGGTTTGTAATAACAAATGGGCACATCAAAACATTATTATTATTACTATATTATTATGTTAAAGATGTTTTAGTGTATCTGGAAGTGTTTCTTTAATGTTTTTGTGCATAGAAAAGTACACTATATACTATATACTAAGGCAAATATTTTGTGAAGGAGTGCTAGTGGTGCAGTGGCTAAGGCATTCGGCTGCTATCTAGAAAGTCAGTGGTTCAAATCCACCAGCCATTCCACAGAAGAAAGGTGAGGCAGTCTGCTTCCGTAAAGATGTATAGCCTTGGAAACCCAATGGGACAGCTCTACTCTTTCAATTAGAGTTGTTAGGCATTGGAATCAACTCGATGGCAGTGGGTTGTTCTTTTTTTTTTTTTTTTTGGTTTTTAATATTAACTCACATTAGATCCAAACCATACCTAACTGTTCTGACTTACATACTTAGGAAAAGAATTCATTCATAACTCTACAGGGACTGCCTGTGTTGTTGTTGTTATGTGCCATAGAATCGGACCCAACTCATAGCAACCCCTCCTTGGGTTTCCAAGGTGGTATCACTACGGAGGTAAATTGCCCCATCATCCTTTCGAGGAGTGGCTGGTGGGTTTGAACTGCCAGCCTTCTGGTTAGCAGTCAAGTGCCTTAGGCACTACGCTACCAGAGCTCCCTGTGTAGGTAACACATTTAGAACAATGCCTATTATATCCTTTTATATTATATATCTTGTTATATACTAGGCATTGTTTTAAATGCTTTACTTCTTTTTAATCTTTTCAACATTTAATCACATAACATATATATGTATGTATGTATACACACACAGACAAATAATGACAAATAATTTGGGGTCTTATTTTGACAACTAAAACTAATACATTGTAGTTGTCAACGATTTTAAAATAAGACAAATCTGGGTTTGAATTCTAATTTTGTTCTTTACTAGTTATAGGAAATTGGCGAGTTAATTAACACCTCTGAGTTTTCTTTCTCATCTATGAAGGGAGAGGAACAAAACCAATCTCTTAGACACATGAGATGTCCCAGACACAAAGCATTTCCTTCATTCATTCAACAGGTGTTTGTTGGGCACATATGGCCCCCAGTGTTTGTCAGGCCAATGAGGACACAGCATTGAACAAAACAGACACAGTCACCACAGTTGTAGACATACTTGAAACATAGCATCTGGCATACACTAAGCATCAGGTAAATGGGAGGGCTCCCACCCTCCTGCCATCCGGCCAAGCCTCTGTCCACTTTCTGTTTGTGCTTAGGTGTTTTCATGGACTTCATTCTGGCTCACTATCTACATAGGCCTTTTCGTTGTCCGAGGTCTTGTCAGCATGCTGAGGAACACTGACATAGGGAAATGAAGTGCCAGCCTTCCATTTCTGGCACCCTGCCCCTGGACATTGTGGTCACCTAGAGCCATTCCACACCTGAAACCTTAAACTCTCTTAGTGTCCCACTCCCTGATCACAGCCTCCTATCCTTGTGATCTCACCCCTGAGTGCATCAGCACTTTCAGGCCTTTAGTCTTGTGTTTTTTCCTCTCCTGGGTTTACTTTCCAAGCCAACTGCATGATTTAAAACAAACAAATAAAAAACCTAAAAAGCAAAGCCACTACCATCAATTCAATTTCAACTCATAATGACCCTATGTTTTACAGAATAGAACTGCTCCATAGCGTTGTCTCAGCTGTAATCTCTACAGAAGCAGACAGACAGACCTTTTTTCCATGGTGCCACTGGGTAGGTTTGAACCAGCAACCTTTCAGTTAGTCCAAAGCAAATTGCTATCCAGAAACTGCATGGCTTGTCACTTACACTGAGGCTGACCATATAACTTACCATCTGAACTGGGACACATCTGAGAGTGAAACATAATTAACAGGACTGTCAAAGCAAATCAGGATTTACTTCCATCTTCCTTCAACCCCTCCCTTGTCTACAGTTTAAAGGGTCTTGCCTTTCTCTTCCTTTTGGCATTCATGCTAGCAAAACCCTAGACCTATTTAGTTCAACAGTCAGCCATTTCTGCAACCAAGAGCCTCTGCAGAAAGTGACATAGGTGGGCAGATATTTGTCACCCTACTGGTAGCATAGTGCCTAAGGCACTTGACTGCTAACCAGAAGGCTGGCGGTTCAAACCCATCAGCCACTCCTTGGAAGGAAGGTTGGGCAATCCTACTTCCGTAGTGATACTGCCTCGGAAACCCAAGGAGGGGTCGCTATGAGTCAGGTCTGACTCGACGGCACATAACAACAACAACAACAACAACCTTCTTACTAGAGAGTTCTGGTGGTGCAATGGTTAAGCACTCAGCTGCCAACCAAAAGGTTGGCAGTTCCAACCCACCAGCTGCTCCAAGGGAGAAAGATGTGTCAATCTGCTTCTGTAAAGATTAGTCTTGTAAACCCTATGGACCATTCTAATCTGTCCTGCAGAGTTGTTATGAGTCATAATTGACTCAACAGAAACAAGTTTGGTTTTTGGTTTTTGGTTTTTACTTTCTTGCTATGTGTTCCTCATCAGCTCCCCTTCTTTTCCCACTTCTCACAACAGTTACTTTGAATCTTCACTGCTTTTGGTTTCCAGCTGTCACATATTTGTCCATTCTAGACTCTGGCTTGGGAATAGCTCTCTGACACCAGTGGTTCAGGTGGGGCTGTCAAGCCCAGGGCTCCATCCTCCTCACTCAGTGATGACTTTGCTCTATAAGCTGGCTGTCTCTCAGAGGATCCCTTTCCCTGAATCCAGAAGCAGTTCAAGAATAGTACATGACTCCATCAGGCAAGGCAGAGTCCTTCCTTGGATATTTCCACTGGGGCCATCAGCAATGCTCACTTCTTGCTTTGGGGCAACTGAGCTGGTAGGATGGCCTCCATGCAGAGGTGTGCAGAAACACAGTTCCAAGGATGCTGCTGTCTGAGCCCCTGCATTCAGCAGATCCCTGGACTTCGCAGTTACATGAGCCAATAAATGCCCTTTTATAACTTCAGCTGGTTTGAGTTAGCCTCTGTTTTATCTCAGGAGCTCTGGTAGCATAGTGCCTAAGGCACTTGACTGCTAACCATACGCTGGTGGTTCAAACCCACCAGCCACTCCTTGGAAAGAAGGTTGGGCAATCTACTTCCATAGTGATACTGCCTCGGAAACTCAAGGAGGGGTTGCTATGAGTCAGGTCTCACTCCAAGGAGGGGTCACTATGAGTCAGGTCCCACTCGATGGCACATAACAACAACAACTGTCTTATCTCAAAAGCTTCATCCTTGTCCTGAACTGTCCCACCCTAACTCTTGACAACAGTCTGAGCCATTTCACC